TCATGATCACGTCAGTGGCCCTTTGAGCCTCCTGAGGATCATGCCACCTTTCTTCCACCATCGTCAGAAAGTCCTCCAATTTCTGGGAGGCTGCCCAAGCGCGGAAGTCATGACCATATCCCTGAAGTTGAACTAGACCGCTCAACCATCTTGCTGCATTACCCTCGAGGTAGGAGGCAGCCACAAGCACTTCTTCTTGCAGCAAGGTGAGTTTGCACCTAACGTAGACCGGCACTGCCCTCAACCATGTGTCGAGGTCCTCGCCTCTCTTGTCCCCCGTGAAAGGTTTGGGAGCGGCGATGGCCGTCTTTGGAACCCACTGTGTCTGTCCCGGTCCCTGCATCATTCCAGGCTGTGGACCCGGTGAAACAGGTTGCTGTGCTAGCTGCTGGGGCTGTGTGCCCTAAGGCTGCCCTGGCTGCGAGACAGCAGGCTGCGTGGTGACTGCAACCTGAGACGGACTTGGAGTAAACACTGTCTGTACAGGAACCTGTAAACTACTCCCTGCTGTTACCCCTCCTGATAGCGGCATGCCCAGGGAAACTATTGCAACCGTTGAAGGGGCTACATATGGGGATACCCCTGTCAACGGTGGGACAGAAAAAGGAGGATATGGCACGGGCCAGGCACCAGGCCCTGCTGGTGATGGTGCTGCCTGAGCACGGCCTGCCAACACGTCTAGGCTTTGTTGAATGTCCTGAAGGATGGTAGTTTGATGCTCCTGCATCTCAATTACGCCTAGCAGGGCCCTCCTAACTACCTTCACATCATCATCCATATGCGCCAGGTCCATCGTCTCTAACTCCTCTATGTCTGCCACTCTTCGTTGCAACCTGGTTTTTCTTCTAATCATCATTTCCTTCTCTCTTTTCATCTGTCCTAAGGCCTGCTGTAGCTGTGCCTCTTGCAGGGCTGCCTGCTGGATGGCGACATCCTTTGGGTCAACACCGCGGGCTGGCTTGCCATTAAGCCAGTGGACTGACTCACGGTATGCGCGACCGTAGACCCGGCGGTACCTGAACTACCGGCTGGGGAAGTCTGTTGTGCAGACGTGCTTATGGCTGTGGTAGCCATGGCTGCTGTAGCACCGGCCTCGCTAGCTAATGCCCTGCTGGCCTCGGCTGCTCTAGCTCTCCTCTGCTGCTGCCTCTCCCGCTGCCAGCGGAACAGTTCCCTATCACCCCCCGGTCCTAGGGACACGTGAGATATCGGGCCTCTAGCTGATCGCAAGATCTTGCGGTCGTCCTCTCCAGTGTCCTCATTGTCGCTCACAGGCTACAACACTGTGCACCGCCTACACTAGATCATTCAAGATGCCTACCGCAGCGTAGTGCACAGACCAACTAATTACTGGTGGCTATTTTGGAACAGACCTCATTTGGGGTCAACAGGTGAGTCAGATTCCTACCGTCGATACTATTTTTAGTAAGATTAGTTCTCAAACAGAGAAAGCATCAGGAATAAACAATATTCTATACTAATGCTGTCTGTCAGATGTCACATGGCTGTCCATCTAACTAATCAGAAAATAAAAATAATGTTGACTGACTGGGTCTGTTCATAGCATGGAATTAAAACCCGAACTTATCACCTGGAACCTACCCCTCCCTTTGTTCTTCTCAAAGTCACGGTATCACGTTTCTTCGCATCAGAAGCCAAGCGTGTCTCAAAGGTGTGCAATCCGGTCCCACCCCTGTGCCCCGGGTTATCGTCGAGCAAGGCAGCCACAGCACTCTTATTTACCCTCGTACGCCGACGAGCCTTCCACTCGGATGATCTGGCTGATCAAGAGGCAAYYYAACGTCCGCCCCCAAGTGACATCARGAATTATTTTACGTCGCAGCAGGACGACGATCACAGCCAGATCAGAGCCGAGTCCCCAGCCAGAAATGTTTATAGACAGTCTGGTAAGCGTCTGTAGAGGCTGCCACACTCGAGTTAACCCTTATCATGCGCAAGCAGCAGAACCAAAGACTTGCAGCGAAGCATGCGYGTACTACACCCAGTGGGTTGGCATGGTGACCGTGACCCAGTGCTTCGTCCAGGGCCCTTCAAGAAGCTCTGCCCGTCTTCCCCCAGATGCTCCACATGAACAATCACGACTCTCAAGGTTGAGTGCACACGACACCTCACGATGAGAGGACTCTCAAGACAGAACTCACAACCTCACAGTAAGAAGTGATGAAGAGGGTAGGTAAGGTTAAGAGCAACGTACCTCGTTCATGCTGCCCCCAACCACAGAGATAGTCTCACC